TCAACCCCCACCTCTCGGCTGCCCAGAAGAGGGAGCTGCAGCACCTGGTCGGTCAGTTCTCGGATGTGTTCTCTGCTCTGCCAGGGCGGACCAGCATCCTGCAGCATGACATCCGGACGCCGCCAGGGGTCGTCGTCAGGCAACGGCCCTACCGGGTCCCTGAGGCTCGTCGGCGAGCTATTGAGGAGGAAATCCATCAAATGCTGAAGTTGGGGGTGATAGAACCATCCCGCACCCGCAGTGGAGAAGGAGGCACTAGCCATCAAGTGGGCAGTCCTGGAGCTGCGGTACTACCTTCTGGGCTGGAAGTTCACCCTGGTCACACCCCTTCAGTGGATGGCCCGCGCCAAGGATACCAATGCCAGGGTGACCCGATGGTTCCTCGCGCTCCAGGACTTCCACTTCGAGGTACGTCATCGGGCTGGAGCCGCGAACGCCAACACGGATGGCCTCTCTCGGATCTGGGCAGCTTTCGTAGGTCTGTCAGGGGTCACTCCCCACCCACCCCCTATCTCTCCCCTACTATCTCAGATCATTAACAGGACCAGGACGACGCTGGGGGGGGGGTGTGTGACGAGCGTCCCGAAGCTTCATCAACGTCGCCCTGGAAACAAGCGAGGAGCACCTGGCCATCATCACAGGCTGATCGTTCACAGCTGCACCTCATTAGGCGGCGGCTACATAAACCACACAAGCCCTGCCATCTAGGAGATTCCTCCATGAGACTGAGCACTAACTCGCCCTCTCATTTTTCCCACAGAAAGCAGCGTGTGACCGACCAGCCCCACAGAAGAACTGCACGGACCCTCTGCACTGGGAAGACGGAAGAGAGCACTCATGGCACCGGAGCACCTACCTGGAACTTTCTCACGAAACACCCATCACCCCAATAAATCCACCCTCCGGGGAATTGATTGAGATTACTTGTCGTGTGATTCTTCACCCCGTTACTATATATATATTCCAGATTTACTTTTTTTCTTTTTTTGGACTGTGAGCAAAGCTGAATTTTCAACCGCTGTTACTCCAGTCTTCAGTGTCACTTGATCCTTCAGAAATCATTCTGATATGCTGATTTGGTGCTATTATTATCAATGTTAAGCACATTCTGCTCAATGTTGTTGTGGAAATCGTAGTACATTTTTAATTTTCAAAATTTTTTGATGAATAGAAAGTTTTCAGCATTTGTTTGAAATACATAATTTTATAACACTGCAAATGCCTTTACTGTTACTTTTAACAAATGCATCCATGCTGAATAAAAGTATTGATTTATTTAAATATAACAGAATTCTTTATGTATACAAATATATACACTGTTTTATTTTCTAAATATTCACTGCTCTGTAATTTTCACCACATATCAAGTGAAGTGTTATTTTTAACAGCATTCAATAATGTATTTTTTAAATTTATTTCTCGTTACTATAAAACTGCAGTTTACTAGATCTACCAGATTTTTTTTTCATTCAAACACATTCTAGATATGAATGTAAGTGAATTTTTTGGCCTTGTTTCAGCACCACATATTAGCTCTCTGTGATCTACAGTTACATCTATTTTCCCCATCAATGCAAAATTGTTTATTAACTGTGAAAATGGCACAGAGCAACGTTGTTTTGTGAATATCACCTGATGTGACGTTTCCTGCTGTTTTATTCTCGCACCGCTCTCTTGCCAGCTCAATCTCATTTACCACATCACACATCTGAATAGCACCAACCTGCAAAAGACACAGAGAGAGAGAACATTTCAGTTGTTCAACCACAGCACAACCTTCAAAGCTTCAATCTCTTTCGTCTCAATGATTCACCACAATATTATTCTCAGGACAGTCTATTACTTTAAGGTGTCAGCTTTCATCTTGTAAGGCTTTCATTTCATATGCATATTTATGGATTGCAGCGAATCCTCATGGGGGATTATTTTTGCTAAATATTTACAGTGAAGGCCTACTGGGAATTAGATTAACCACTGCTTGAAAAATCCACAACTGAACTACTTATCCGATTTTAGTTTGCCATTCACCATTCTTATTGACAGTCCAATGTATGTCTATACGCTAGCGGCGCACGGACAAAAGACCGTCGTTGCTCTGTGGAGATGATATTATGCCTCTAGGGGAGAAAAGGCACATGGGGCCAGTGAGTAATCGTCGGATGGCTCACTGATGTCCACTGCTGATGACAAATTCATGCCGTCAGTGACAGTCAGTGGCAGACAGCCTGCGGGTCAATAAGAACGTGAAAGTCCAACAAACAGCTTGAGAAGGTCAATGAAGACATGGAGCTGGGAAAGAGGGGTATAATGGACAGGGCCGACTGAATCCCTAGTGTTAATAATGTTGTATGTGTGTGGGTGTTTGTGTCATGGTCTTTGGGTGTGTAGTGTTTATTGTCTCGAGTTAGCATCTGAGCCTGCTTCTGTTTGGTATGTTTGTGTGTGGGCCTGCATTTGTGTGTGTGTGGGTACAGGTATGTCTGTGCATTTCAATGTGACAGACCTGAGATCAGCGACTTAGAACAACAGGTTAATGAGAAATGGAAAGGGTTTGATTTACTTCTGCTGAGTTCAGTACTAGTTGAGAACTACTGTCACTGACATGAATGGAAATACTAGCCAAGTTTTATCCATGTATTATAGGCCTTGTTGGGCCAAATCACACTTGAGCATGGACTGAAGCACTGAAAACATTTATAAAATAAATATACTCCAGTCAATGCCTTCATAACTAGTTGATGGTGAGAAAAGAAGTGTGGTGTTGAAAAAGAAAAAAATGTTTTCTATTTCAATATATTTTAAAATGTAATTTATTTCAGTAATGGCAAAGCTGTATTTTCAGCAGCCATTACTCCCAGTCTTCAGTGTCATGTGATCCTTCAGAAAGCATTAGAAAAAGCTGATTTATTCTTATTATTATTAATACTGAACATATTTTTTTTCAGGATTTTTTGATGAATAGAAAGTTCAAAAGATCAGCATTTATTTGAAATATAAAAATTGTGTAATACTGTCACTTTTAACCATTTTAATAAGGGATGCACAATATTATCTGACCAATATCGGAATCAGCCAATAATGGCTTTAAATGTAAATATCGATATCGGATGGATATGAAAAATGATGCCAATATTTCTTGCCGATAAGAGGAATACATTAACTCACATGTGCTCAGGGTGCTCAGGCAAAATACAAAAATAATATTTAGACGGTGTTTCTGATTAAATAAAGCAGTTATTGATGCCATAAAATCTTGAGTATGTTTTGATTTAAAGGTCAGAAGCTATAGCTTACATGAACAAAAATCACAAACATGACACTTAAAGTAAATTATTTTATATATACTGATTTATTCATTAATGTGTACCATGTTATTTTTTAAACAAATTATAAGCTCTAAAAGATTTTCTGAATTTTTACAACTCTATTGCTTTAGACCATTTACAAATGTTAAATCATAAAATAAAATGTTAAGGTTACCAACTGCATCTTTCTGAAAAAAAAATGCAGTGATTAATATATAGTTTATTTATAGTTATTTTCAAATCTTCAATGTACTGTCATTATAAAATAACTTTATTATTGTTTATTATATCCCTTTAATTCTATCAAATAAGTTCTTGTTAAAAACTAACCAAAATTAAATATAATTATATATCATATCGGCTCTCGGACAAAATTAGTTGAAAATTATCGGCATATCAGATATCGGCAAAAATCCAATATCATACATCCCTAATTTTAATGCAATCATGCTGCATTAAAGTATTAAGTTGTTTCAATATAACAGAATTCTGTATGTATACAAATATGCTACTTTTTTCTAAATTTTCACTGCTGTGTCATTTTTACTACATATCAACTGAAATGTTGTATTTAACAGCATTCAGTAATGGAATTGACAGTGGCAGAAATTAAATTTTTAACATTTTTAGAATAAATTGGCCACATCCTTAATCTTGCTAAGGCTAATTTCACTTTTTGTGCATCAAATAATATTTTCACACTTTTTGCATATTTTGACATTACATTTACAGCTTGAAATTACAGCTTGACTAGAAATTAATCAGAATAAAAAGATTCTGTAGAACACTCATAAAAATAAACTTCAAACAACAAATAATGAAAATAAATTGTAAGATTACATTATTTTTATAAAAAATATTCTGTATAATTGATTTTCATTGTTTTCATAGGTTTTCATTGTATGGGTCCATGAAAAAGCATAAAACAATATATGTGTATATATATATATATATATATATATATATATATATATATATATGTGTGTGTGTGTTGTAGCGTCTGGACC